CCCCGCCCCGCCCCTGCATTCTCCAAGCGAGTGTGCCACCAGGCCGGCCTGGCGCTGCCTTGCAAGCCATCGGCTCACCGCGGCTGCGGTGCCCTTGAACAGCCCCGATGACGAATGTTTACCACGCTTGGTTTCGTAGTCGTTTCGATGCACAAAAACACACACGTGCGCTCGCGCAACCAAACAAACACACACGCGCATGCGCGCGCTCGCTCACACTCTTGCTTATGAAGCACATCCTGCTTGATCAATGCAATCTGTAAGGCACATCTACTCACTGGCACACGAGCCCTGTAGGGGCTGAGCAAAACAGTTGGGAACAAAACCGCCAAGCCACCGCAGCAGCAGTGGCCGCAACTCTCGCCACCTCGCCCCCGCCTCACGCCTCGATACGGCGGGCTGAGGCTCTCGAAGGCGGGAGCGCGCCTTCGAGCGCCTCAGCACGCGCCCGCTGCGCGCCCCTGCCGCTCCCGCCCCTGCCCTTCCGCGGCGGCGCCCGCCGGCGCGGCTGCTGCCGCTTCTGCAGCTGCCGCGGCGGCGGCGGCGCGCGCCTCCTCAACCAGCCGCATCGCCTCGCGCGCCTGCCTCTTGAACTCCCGCCGCTTCTCGAGGAACACAGCGCGCTTTTCCCGCAGGGCCTCGCGCCGGCGCCGCCGGCGCGCGAGGCGGCCCTCGCTGCTGCGGCCGGTGGCCATGACTGGGCCGGTGGTGTCCTCGTCAGCGTAGTGCTTCCATGAGGCGTACTGCCCGCCGTCGACCTTGATGGGGCGCAGCAGGCGGGGGGCGGACATGCAGCGCTCGCAGCAGCAGCCCTGCAGCCTGTCGCGGCACACCTGGGAGGGGGCAGCGCAAGGGGGGAAGCGGATGGGCAGCGTGTTTTGGCGTGCATGCCCAAAAGAATGTAAATGGACGCGCGCTCATGTTGATGTGTGTGTGTGTGTGTGTGTGTGTGAGTGCATGCATGTGTGTATGTGCGTGTGCCCGCGCGTGTGGGTGAATGTGTGCTCGTGTGTGTGTGTGTGTGTGTGTGTGTGTGAATGTGCACGCGCGCGTGAGTGTGTGTACACATGCTGCAGCTGTGGACTGGTGGGATGGAGGGGTGCCTGATAACGAGGCAGTCATCAGGGCTGCCCCCACCTCAGGGGGGGCCCACAAGCGAGGGGGCCGGCAACAACCCGGTCAAACCTCCCACAGGGACACGCCACCCTCTGCCCCCAACCGCCGCGCGGCGGCCTGCCCGGCGCCCCCACCTGGCATGCCAGGAAGAGCTCGTTGCAGTCGATGTTGGCGCAGTTCTGGTGAGGCAGCTTGGCGGGCGACGCGCCGCACACCTGGCAAGGCACGGCCGCGGGCAGCTCCGCGTCGCCTGGGGTCGCGGCGGCGCGGCGCCCGGGGGAAGGAGCGAGAGGGGGTGTTCAGGTTCCAGCAAGGGCCGCGGACGAGGCAAGGGGGTGGGGGACGGCGGCGAATGGGACGCTGGGCGGCCGCCTCGAGCTCAGAGACGCGCTGGCCAAAGGCGGGGCGGCGCGCGGAGACCGGGCGGCCGCGGGCCGCGGCGCAGCGGCGGCGCCGCGGCGGTGGCGGTGGCGGGGCGCACCCGTCTCGCCGCCGGGGATGGCCGGGTTGATGGCGAGGCGGCCGTCAAAAACAAATAGGCTGCCATTCCAGCCCTCGCCCCCCGGGGTCTGCTTTAGGTAGTTCTGGGGGGGCAAGGGGGGCGAAGGAGGCACTCAGGGACGGGCGGGTCAAGGGGGGCTGGGCGCAGGGGTTGCGCTCGGCAGGGGCATGCGTTGCCAAACCGCAGACCGCGACGGCGGGGCGGAAACTAGTGGTGGCTGCGCATCAGCCGCCGGTGAGGCATGCCTGCAGGGGCGCCGCGGCGGCGAGCGCGCCGCGCAGGCTCGGCCACTCAGCGGAAACACACGCACGCCGGTCGCCGCGGGCGGCCCGCGCCTGCCCCCGCATGCCCGCTGCCGAGGGCACACCAGGGCCGCCCCGGTCCCGCCCCTCGGACCTGTATGCCGCCCTCCAGGGTATAGAGGTTCTTGTAGCCGCGCTGCCGCAGGAACGTGGAGTAGATGTCGCAGCGGATGCCGCCGGTGCAGTACATCTGCACCGATTTTGGCGGGCCATGCGCATCGGCGTGGTGGGCGGCCAGATCCGCCGAGCCGCCCCAGCTGCTTGTCAAAAACTCTGCCTACCACCCACTCGCCGATCCCTCCACTCTCCCCAAAACCGCTCCACCGGCGCCCCGGCCCCGACCCCGGCCGCAAAGCCGCGGCCCACAAGACACACGCCGCGCCGCCCGCTGCACGCCAGCGGATCCCAC